CATAAAACCTTGCGAAGTCTAGACGTGAACAAAGCTACTGGACCTAATGTCTCCTGTGTTGACGCACTTGTTCCGCCTCCCTTGATGTCTCTAAGGCCTTTGACAGGGTTTGGAACGCTAGCCTTTTGGGCAAGCTTCCAGCATACGGCTTATCTGGCTTGATTGACTAGGTAAAGGACTTTCTGAGTGAACAATCCTATCGCGAAAACCGCTGGAATTCTTCAGAGGTTTGTTCTCTCCGCAACTCTATTCCTGCTGCACATTAATGATCTGCTTATTCCCTGTATCTATGAGTATGCAGACGAAAAGCACAGTTGTGGAGACGTACCAGCCGAATGCTTAGGCCAGTCAGGATCAAATCCAGTCCGAAAGAGGAGCTATCGTTGTGCGTGCGAATCTCTCACTGCAGACAGTCTCCAAATGGGGTGATGCCAATCTCGTGAGATTCAACTACTCCAAAACACAAGCTTGTCTTTTCACCACTGAAAAGAGCCTATTTAGCCTGGGTCCTATTGCTTTCCGGAATGTATCTTTGGAGTACACTGATCCCCATCAGTTCTTAGGGGTTGAGTTTTCTCCGCACCTCAACTATGGGCGGTTCATTGAGTCCCGGGCCAAAGCAGTACAAGAAAATTGCACCTAGTTTTCATGCGACTGCCTTCAAGGGTGCGGCGGTACTTTACGCCGGGGCTTACCTTATATAAAACGCAAGTCCAGTCGTGCCTTAAGTACTGCTTTCACATATGGGCTGGTGCTGCAAAATGCCACTTAGCTGCGTTGAACTCAGTAGAGAAACGTGCTAAGAGTATTAATTGGTAACCTTGTCAGCCTCGAGCACTGGCGCAGAGTAGCCAGACTCTCGGTAGTCTATAGGATGAATTTCGGAGAGTGTGCGCAGGAATTACACGCCTTAATTCCTCCCTCTCTTTTCCACCATCGAACAACCAGACGGTCGGCACATCTTGGCCCCTTTGTTATCGATATTCCATGCATTAAAACCAAACGGATTGCTTCGTTTTTTGTAATGCGTACAGAGTGGAATAATTTGCCGGCGTCTATCTTTCCGTCCGAATACAATGTGGGCGTCTTCAAGGCAAGAGTGAATAGGCTTTTGTTACGCTAAGACAGTGCGATTTACCATCTAAGGTTGCAATACTACTTAACAACGGTAAAACTATAGACATCCGTTACTTGCGAACGGGGGTGGGAGGGAGGTGGAGTGAGGAAAAAATCTGGGGAAGCCCTCCCTACCCTTCCCTCTTGCGGAAATGTATAGTTTACAAGTAATTTTTTTTCTAAAATCATAACCACACTTTTTTACATAGGAATATTGACACAGTTAGGTACTTCTTCAACGCCTTCGGCGCTGTGGGAAGTGCAGACCCTTAACCGTTGCGTAGCAAATTACAGGCATTTATGCGAGCCACAGCGGCTGAGGCTGGTGCCGAAGGTGACCAATAAACCGAGACTGCGGAGGTGAGTAAGCTACTAGAGCGGGCGGGGGCTGCTGTCCCTCCGCACCTACGGCTTCACAAAAACACTGCCTTCAGATTCAGTTTTAGTACAGACCTATATTATCGATAATATATAACTGATAAAGGACAAAAAATGCCGTTCATACCTTATAGTAAGGTAGTGGTCGTTCTGGACTCGATAATTCCCAGAATATTACCGTCATCTACATTCGAACTCAATAATCTTTCTGCACTTAATTCCGTTCTATTAATATTTATCGTACATTAATTATCGTCACTGCGTTGCTACTCGTAGCGATACGTTTTGCCAGCAACGCAAATTTCAACAGTTCGTTGCAGTGACAATTTTAGAGCACCTAATTTTCAAACTTGACACCTAATTAGCACCTTTAAAGCACCTTAATTTGGCTTTTTCTAAATGCAATTTTGATTCTGTTCTGATTTTCAGAAGACCTGATTTTTGAATTTGCTTTGTTCGGAATAACGACTTTACTTTTATTAGGGGCGCCTTATCATTGCCTATACTTGCAGCACTTTATTAGCACTTAATTCTTTGCTATTAATATTTAGCGTATATATCTACTGACGTCACTGCGTTGTTAGAAATACGTTTTGCCAGCAATGCAAATTTTAACCGTTCGTTGCGGTGAAAATTTTGGACCACCTAATTTTTAAACCAGGCACCTAATTTGCACCTAAAAAGCCCCTAATTTTGGCTTTTTCTAAATTCAAATTCCTGATTTTGTGTTGCTGGCGAGACGCAACTCTTAGATAACCCGAGAGGCTGACCGGGTTTACCCGGTAGATCAGTTACCTCATGATCAAGGTCCAGGTATGTTGTTTGCTTATCAGTTTCGGCTAAAGAAACCTTCACAAGGTTCTTGTCAGCATGGTTACGTCGACTAAAATATCCTTGATCATGCCCGGTCCGTCACCACAATGTAAGGCTTATTCGCATGAATAGACCTGTCACGTGAGTTTGTGTAAAGGCTCGGTCCCAGTAGAGCCTGCCGCGGTCATTTCCGAGAATGACCTCCGGTGAATACTTAGAAGAAGGCAGTTCGCGATGCACAAGACCGTATTTCAAAACAAGTTCCTGTTGTAGTATTCCGGCTACTAGGTTGGTATTATTATTATTTGTAATAAAATTAGTAATAACTAATATTATTATTATGGTGGATAGACTATTAAAATATAACTATTCTGATTATTATTATTATATTATTAGACACCACGTCGGAGATTTTCGAATTAAAAAATACGTCCATGTTATACGCGACTTAATAAAATGGAGGGGCTCTTAAGCTCTATTTCATGATTCCTTTGACTGATTCTGATAAAATTTACAACAAAATTACTGATTTGGGTGATTTGGGATTTTTCTATTGTTTATTTCTAGTCTGCCTAGCAAATTTTCGCAAAAAAACTCAATCTTCGATCCTTACGATTATATTTTCCTGTCTATAGGATACTAAAACATAAAACACATCAACAATCAACTGGCGGTAAGTGGCCACTGCCTACTGGCTGTTAAGTCCGCCAACATTGGAGCAGGATTTAATGATAAAACAAATCTGCAATTGCCAACACTCCTGCCAAGCGTGACAGCTATGGCACTACCTACATCATGTTTTGATACTACATGAGACAGTATATGTGGGAGATCTATGTTCAGTAGTGGACTTTGGATAGGCCGCAATGAAGTTTGATTAATTTAATTTTAAATAAAATTATCACCCATCCACGACTTTCTGCCACCAGGGCGGCTCCACTAGAAAGTGAGGTATAATATTTGACAGATTTCACAGCGGGGAAGTAAAAATGTGCAAAATCATTAAAGAGCAAACCACTGACGCATTGTTTTGTGTATTCATTTAATACTCTACTAATTACCGGCTCCGTGGCATAGTGGCTTAGCAATGAGTTGCAACGCTTGGGGCCGCGGGTTCGAATCTCGCACGGAACAAGTATTTGTACGGCCTACAAATAATTGTTCCGGGTCTGGATGTTTGTCCTTGTGCAATATATGTTTGTAAACTGCCTCCACGATACAGGAGAAAATCCTAGTGTGGGGGTAACATTGTTTAAAAAAAATAAAAAAAAGAACTCTAGAAACTGATAAACTGTTATTAAAAACCAACCTCTCAATTAAATTACACTGTGTAACAAAAAACTTTACCTCAGTGTTAACTAGCGACAACTGGTAAGCAGAAAATTAGCCCCCATTAAACTACAAGGAAATATTTGTCTATCTATATCTATATCTATACTAGTAATAAAACTGTAACGATATTATATCTGTGTATTGATTATAATTTTGAAGTATAATAAAACATAGGCTTATAAACTTAAGATAAAGATGCCAAACAACTATTTTTCTTTATATTGTCTGTCTGTCTGTAATCACAATTTTGTAATCTTGAATCTGAATAATAGTGATGTTATGGTTTGGCTTGCTATTGTAGTGTTTCAGTTAAATATTTAGAATTTTCATTTGGGAGGCTATTGTAACTGTGCTATTATTTGTACTGCTGTGTGTGTGGTGCTAATGTCAGGGAACTCTAATCGATCATTTCTCAATGTCCTTGCTCATGAGGGTTGTTCGCAATACTTTCTATGCTTGGCAGGCTGGTTGACTACTCCAGTTTTGACCAGACATGGTTTAGGACTGTACTTTGTAACATTCCTATGTTTAGTCTTAGTCTTGCCTATGTTTAGCAGTGGATTTGTAATGATGATAATGATGATGACAAACAATGATGAACAATTATCAAAAAAACTAGTCACCATTTTTTGCCGACGTTGCGAGGTCTTTGCAGTTTTGTCGGTAACTGTCCTTCTGAGTAGACCCATACCGATGATTGCTTTTTTTTCCGGATCATATTAATAAATCCATATCTCGTCACCAGTAAAGATTTCTGACTGAACGTATTTCATGGCACCAATCCACACGAGTCTATACTTAATTGTTCAGTTAAACCAAATTTAAAATCATAATATATTATTATAGCACGCAAATTTTCACGTGTAAGATCCATCATTTTAAATGAAAAGCGCGGGAACCATTGCAGGAAAATTAATAGAACTTTGTTTTTTTCTTAATATTGAGCAATTGGCTTATGGAGTTCTATTTTTAAATAAATTTTCTTTTTAGAAACGTATAACACGGGTGCGTTCCATTTTTAAATTTCGAGCATGTCAAAACTAATTGAGTGACCTAGGTACATATGTAACTAAACCTACTGTACTATGTTTCTTCACAAGCATTGCCAGTTGCAACCAAAATATCCAACCGTGTGAAACCGCAGGAAAAAGCTAGTACACTAATAACTTTATCTTCTACCGGAGCATCAGAAGCGCAAATAAAACGCATTATCTAATAATCTAATCTTTTAATTTCTTTCAATAAAAGAAAACTAAACTGTTCTTTGTGGTTTCTTATTTTAGTCAAAATTTTGCGTTCATAAAGTGTGGTTTAACTTTCTTGTTCTTGGCGACTATTACAACGAAGGTTGAAGGTATAATATGGTGTCGCCGGTCGCTAAGCAGGTAAATATGGATCTATTGTTACTAACTTTTTACAGGTGACTTAATTCTATATAGATAAATCACCTTAACTTTTAGGATTCTAGATGGTAGGATGTACCTTTTCTTCTAAGAGTCCGCATGTGTAGGTGTTACCTTCTTACCTATATACTGTATTCCGGTCTGAAGTGTATAGAGGGTCAGTACAGTCACAGGCTGTAAAGCATTCCATCTTAGTCCTTAGAGATGACGTATCTTTAGCCTTCTTTATTTGAAATTGGCTGAATGTGTCCATAGAGTGCAGTAATTAACATTAGGTAAACTGTAAGTTTAACTTCATTTTTTTTAAATATCCACATGTTACCATTTAGACTATTTCCGTTTCCTCCTACTAATTCACGGTCTATTGATTTATTCTTCTTCTTGTTTTTTCTCAACCATATAAATCCATTTTGCTGGTTTAGTGAGCTCTGCGTGATAAACAAAATAAACAAATTCCTTCATTCATTAATTACTACAGCCTATCAAAAGTTGGTTGCTTAAAATAGGTCTCTCCCATAGATTGCCTCACAGGGGGGATACTAGCTATAGTTGCCACGTTTAGCAGGCGGGTTGGCAATCGCTGTTTTTTATTTTTTTTGTTTTTATCAGATAACTATCGCTGCCCATCTCCTGTTCCAATTTCCCTCTATCACCTCTTAAGAAACCCACGAGATGATATGGGATAATGCCTCACGCGGCGAAGGGACAAACTCATCAGATATTATCATAATCATCGATATATATGTACTACGTACTAGATTTCGCATTCCGAACATACACTATGTTCAACTGAACTGTACTGCAATCCGTCAATCTACTAGTTAGTCTGTGGTTCAATATACTACGTCTCCCAAGCTCTTCAACGTGTATGTGAATAACCTTATCGTGGAGTTGAGCAGTATGCGCGTTGGACGTCGCATAGATGGCGTTAGCATTAATAATATAAGCTACGCTGACGATATGGTGCTGCTCAGCCCAACGGTGGGAGGCCTAAGGGAAATGTTAAAAGTATGTGAGATTTATGCTACTGAGCATGGGCTCACATGCAATGTCAAAAAAACAGAGTACATGGTCTTTGAGGCCGCTGGTAAATGTCACAATATTGCAGATAATGTTAACCTTAATAGCATGAACGTGAAACAAGTCACTAAATTTAAATATCTGGGGCATATTATTACTGGTGACCTCAAGGATGATGCTGACATTGAAAGGGAGCGCAGGGCTCTAGCGGTTAGAGGTAATATGTTGGCTCGCAGGTTTTCCCGTTGTACAAAACAAGTTAAGATTACGCTTTTGTTTTTAAGCATACTGCCAGAACGTATACACGGGGAGCCGGTGGGTCTAATACACCAAAATATCGCATGAAGCCCTTCGCGTCTAATATAATAAAATATAATAGGTATATAGGCATGAAGAAAAATCCAAGGCATTTTTGATCTTATATAAAATCTAAAAAGTATACTAATTTCATACCCGACGATAATGTGTTTTTTGAGAACAGAATTGCTTCTGACGGCAAATAAATCGCGTAACTTTTTAGAGATTTTTCCCAGCCTGTTTTCGAGTTTTCGTTATCTGCCGTATAAGACACACTCTACTGAATCTCTTTTAACAACAGTTAAAATCACTCCTGGTAAAATTAAAAAGTATTAAAATGGACTGGATATAAATAAGGCGCTACCCTTATTTATATCTGATGGTCTACATCCAGTTTTTTTTTAAACGTTGTTCTAAGGAGCTTGCTCCTCCCGTTGTTATCCACATCTAGCGGTATCATGCCAATTATTTAAAAACGTTCTATGATTCCTCACATATTCCTCATAACAGAGAAGAACCACATCTCAGATCCATACGTCATCAATGGCAACTAATAATGATTGTATAATTTTGTTTTCAAGTTTTTTAAATTAGTTTTAAAACTAGTATAACTTAATTAAATTACAGTCCTACTCCCCGCGGTATCGTGCCAAGAACGAGCTTGAGCGAGAAAAGAACTAGCCCTCTTGTCACCGCACGTGGACCCCACGGACCGATAGTTTAAAGCAAATGGCACAAATATGTAGTCATCTCTCAGAGACTCACATTTGCGCCACTTACTCAGTTCAGCTGCGTCTGATGCCGCTCCGGCTCTAAACGAATTAGTTTTGTAAGTTTGTTAAATCGATCTTTAAACTGCAAACATTTACTTAGTCCCGTCCTTACAATAAGCTAGTAGACAGTCAATGACGATAGTATTTCAATTTCTCGAGGCCTCCTAAGCGGAAAAAGTAACTAAAAAAAAACGCTTCGTTTTCTTTTATCAGTAGTGTGGTAGCTGGTAGTAAATGAAGAATGCATGACAACCCCTTTCTTTAAAACAAAATACCCGTTCAATTATTTATGAGCCGTTTAATGTTTCTATTATTATTTTAAGTCATCCTAAATTGCTGAATAAATAGTTGCACCTCGTATTCGTATGTAATAAAACGGATCGTTACGGAGAACGAAACGTTTCTTGAATATAGGAATCGGGCATAAATCGGCCCTAGGTATGTCTGTACTTTAGTACTTGTTATAAAAATAATCAAATCAAAACTCTAGTAAACGAGTACTAGGCCAGATTCTCAAGTACTTCATTGAATTCGAGTACTCTTATGTTTCTCACTCCCAAAAACACCAGCAAAAATAAAATGACTCGTCATAAAATACTTTGTTTTATTGATCAATCAATACTTACACAAAATCTAACATTTTTTATTGATGAATGGTTGGTGGACAAATATTTACTTTTTATTGATTTGTTCTAGACATGGGCAATATCAGCAGTTCTTATCAACATGATGGCTCAGGGCTTGATGCTAAGCTACCCATCCAGTTTGCTGCCAGGGATCCGGGCCCCAGACTCCGACATAAAAGTAGATTTGAATACAGCATCTTGGCTAGGTATAAATATATTATATCATATCTTCACGAGGCTTAAGGATAATTGATATCGGGAGAAACCTTTGCTGGTTTACCATTAAGAAAAAAAGGGGACATTCTACACATTAACTGAACAGGGGCCTACTCATTAATTGAACAAGCTTTGACAAAACGATACAGCCTGTATGATCACTGAAATGAGAGGGTAATGAAGCAGTTAGTCCAATGCGTTGCTCCAGTGCGAAATTCACACAGTTTACTAAATGTATTATTTCTCAGAAATGAAGGTTTCCTCATGGCGTTTTTCTGTGCCGCCGAGCACGTGGTAAATCAGCAATTAAAATTTTAAAAAGCCTTTTGAAAAGCCAAACTCAAATTCTACATACATACATAAGAAATCTAAATGTTATTTTTGGATAACATGTTTTTTTTATAGGATCGATGACTACCTGACACCTGATGGTAAGTGGTTGCTGTGACTCATAGTGTGTGTGTGTGTAGATGTCTACATCTATCCTCATTAAAGAATCGAAATGCAGATGCGTTGTCACCCGTGAGGACTAAGATGGAATGCCTCTTTTCCAGTAAAAAGGGTATCCGGTTCGCTACACTCACCATATGAAACACAGCAGTGTTAAGCTGCTATTTTACGCTGGTATTCTGTGAGAACGTGGTTCTTCCCCGGTCGAGCCGACCCATTCGTGCTACAATTATATTACTAATATAGCTGCAACATGGCTCTACCACGTAGATATATGTTATATTTAACTAATTTAAAATTATTATTATAAATAACTAATTTTTATTTCAGGTTCAGTGGTTGGACTGTCCTCAATCCCTGGCTTTTTTATTTCCTCTATCCTCATGGATTGGAGAGGTAGGAAGATGGCGCAAGCTATAGTCATAATACCTGGCATTTTGGGCTGGCTGTTCATTTACTTAGGTGCCAGTGTAACTTCACTAATTATAGGAAGATTATTGACTGGGTTTACGGGTGGTGCTTCTGTATGTCTAGGAGCAGTAATTGTTGGAGAATATTCAAGTCCTAAAAATAGAGGCACTTACTTAAATTTAAAAACAGCCAGCGTTTGCGTTGGGGGCATGATGATTCACATACTGGGAAATTTTTTTCATTGGAGAACTGTCGCATTACTATCACTGTTCCCGTATATTATTTCCCTCGCCATAATTTATACTTGGCCCGAAAGTCCTGCATGGTTAGTTTCACGAAAAGAATTTGAGAAAAGTAAAAAGGCGTTTTATTGGTTGAGAGGGCACAGTGAAGAAGCGGAAAAGGAATTATATGAACTAATTAGAGCTCAAAAAAATAAACCAGCCGATATAAAAAACAGCAACTTCAAGGAGAAATTTATTGAATTTTTAAAGAAATTTACGAGGAAAGATTTCGTAAAACCAGTAGTCATAATAATGTTTAGCAGGCTGCTACTTGAAACCTGTGGCCGACACATTTTTCCCGCATACGCATTACAAATTATCGGTGAAGTGACTGGGAACAAATCTCAATCGTTTTATTACACATTAGCTTTAGATATCATTATAACGACCAGCGCTACATTTTCCTCGGTATTGGTCAAAATTTGCAAACGTCGCACTCTTCTATTTGTTTCTGGATTTTCTGCTTTATTTATATTATTTAGTGTATGCACATACCTTTATCTAGCATCTAAAGCAATAATTTCTAATAATTATACTTGGATACCAATATCATTGTTTGTACTGTACTTCATATTAGCCAATTTAGGTTGCACACCAATTCCTCTAGCTTTATTAGGTGAAGTGTTACCATTAGCTCATAGAGGTTCTGGATCAGCTGTTGCAGGTATTGTAATGTCTCTCACCATGATGGTAGCACTCCAAATTACACCATATTTACTCGAAAGTGTCAAAGTTTATGGAACATTCGCTGTATTCGGATCAGCTATGGGCTTAACTCTAGTGGTGTTTTATTTTATATTACCCGAAACAAAAGACAGAACTTTACAGGAGATTGAAGATTATTTTAATTATGGAAGATTTAAGAACGAGGAAAACCTGAGAGAGGAAGAAGAAGATGTGAAGATGAAAATGATTATTTGAACAGACTTCTAGTTTATCTGTTTTTGAATACAAGAAAGTTAACTATCTTTTAATAAGAATAACAATTTTTTTTAAATGATCATGCTAGTCAAGCGTTTAAGCAGCTAAGGTAATCAGTAGACATGTAGTTATATGTTTAAGAATATAAATTTATTTAAAGAAACTATTTCTTTTGCATACTATATTACCCAATTCACTTAATTTAGGATGAGGTGTTACAAAGCAATGCTTGATACTCAACCATGAAAAGTTTGTAGTTAAGTGTGCCAGTGCGTATTACAATCTGTGGCGTCAGAAGTTACTTTTACTTGTATTTTATTCAAGCACAAGCTTTGGAGAGGGTTATGTTCTGAGTTTCTCTACATGATAGACGTCGAAATGAGGATATCTGTAATATAACACAAGTAACCGCGATAGCCTAAGGTATCAAGAAGCTAAAGTGGCAATGGGCCAGCAATATAGCTCGAAGAAACCGACAAAGAAGAAAGATTCTCGAGCGGCAGCCTCGTACCGTTAAGCGATGTGTAGGGCGGCCTGTCAGCAGCTCGGTAAGTGATTCTCGTTGGGTGCATTAGGCTAACGACCGTACTTTGCGACTTCCTCATTTGTCTAGTGGTCATAACCACGTCTGCTGGTTATGAGTTGCTGGGTTCGAATCTCGGATTTGAACGAAATCGTTTATTCGATTTTTTTGTCAAGAAATTCTCAGTATTAATCCCGTGGTCATTGTTGGTGGTGTTTCAACCCTGTGCCTCTGTCTAAAACCGTTGGTCCTACGCTTGATCTCTCTTCAGTCGTGTCGGATTGCCGTCTCATCGGACCATTCGAATGAGATAATAGAGACTGTGATTGCGCACATACTCGGGCACTATAATCCTGTCTATATTTTTAATGTCATATCTGTTTAAGACTACAGTTTTATCTACCGCCGTTTAGCCGTGTGGTGTGCGGCGGAGTAGAATACCACCACCCCATATCTACCTGTGGGTGTCGTAGAAGGCGACTAAGGGAGTGTGGAAAAGGACTGAACCCCTGTACCTTTTTCACTGATATACCTACTGTTCCATCTGTCCGAGTCCCTCTCCGGTCGTAACGGTCTCCGTTCCCCTGGGTCCAGAGGGGCAAAGACGAGTATGTGCATCTGTGTCCGCGCGTACACTTGTGCACGTTAATATGTCCTGCGCAATTGACCTGCTTCCAAATAGGACTCCGATCTATAACCAATGTCCTACGGCGATGGGAGGAGGTAGAGAGGCTTGACGTGATGCCCGTTGAGTTTTGTCTGACTCCTGCACGTAGGCGGTCTTGGGGGTGTAGTGTACATCGTGGTCGCTTCTGCTCTGCAACGGGGTGACAGAGCGGACTCGGCAGCACCCAAGGTGACAAAGCAGCCCTATTCAGGGAGGCACTGCTTTCCTCGCTCAGACGGGGAGGGGGCTAGAAAAGGTGCCCTAAACAAATGCTCACTCCAACCCTTTAGGATGGTAGCAACGGCGGCTGCCTCCGCATCATAAATTCGCGGTCGACGCTACAGGAAAAATAATGGAAAATTTAATTTATCAAAATCAATGACATTTGGCGCGTGGAATGTGCGCACACTTCTTGACCGCGAAGCAAATGCCTGCCCTGAGCGAAAAACTGCCATTGTAGCTCGGGAACTAAGTCGCTATAATATTGATGTGGCTGCACTCAGCGAAACACACCTCCCCGAGGAAGGAGAGTTGGTAGAATATGGCGGCGGGTATACTTTCTTTTGGAAAGGACTCGCTTCCTCGGAGCCGCGAAGGTCTGGTGTAGGCTTTGCTGTCAAGAACTACCTTGCTGCTCAACTGCAAGAGTACCCTGTACACATCTCGGACCGCATTACCACATTGCGCCTTCACATGGAACGTGAAAGCTATCTTAATATCATCAGTGTCTATGCCCCTACGCTGGACAAGTCTGATAATATTAAGGATAAATTCTACGAAGAATTGACGCGGTGCGTAAATCGTATTCGTCCAAGAGAGCAAATCCTTCTCATGGGCGACTTTAACGCCCGAGTAGGACGAGACTATGACGCCTGGCCTAAAGTTCTCGGCAGACATGGTGTTGGTAAAATGAACAGCAGCGGCCAATTGTTGCTTAGTCTTTGTGCACAATTGGATCTTGCAATTACAAATACTATGTTCAGACTGCCTGCCAAGTACAAGGCAACGTGGATGCACCCCAGATCGAAACATTGGCACCTTATCGATTACGCCATCGTGCGTCAAAAAGACATATCTCAAGTCCAAGTCACCCGTGTCATGCGTGGTGCTCATTGTTGGACTGATCACCGGCTTGTTATTATTAAAGTAAATCTTCGTCTTCCACCTCCTTGTAGAGTGGGAAGATCTAAACAGATACGTCTGAACCTCGAACGACTCCAAGATACCAACACGAAGGCTAAATATGCCGAAACCTTGAACACTGCTCTGCAGCCCCTCGATCTAAAATTAGGTGAGATCGATGTTGTCTGGGAGTCTCTATCTTCTTGTGTTCTCGACACTGCTAAATCTACTTTGGGTTTGAGAGTTCGAAAACATGAGGACTGGTTTGATGAGAATGATGGGATACTTACAGGCGCTATTGATAAACACCGTAGGCTCCTAAAGCAGCACAGTAGAACTCATCAGAGTGGAGGTGCGATGGAGTTGCGTCAAAGTGATCTGGAGCTGCGTAAACTCGCACGACAAGCGAAAGACAAGTGGTGGCAGGAGAAGGCTCGTCAGATGCAGTGGCTCGCTGATACCAACCAGCTCGGTGAGTTTTATGCTGAGGTGCGACATCTACTCGGTACGTCCTCTATGGCAAAAGTTCCACTGAAGTCAACTAGTGGTGGAGCGCTTTTTAAAAGCAGGGAGGAAATACTCGGGCGATGGGCGGAGCATTTTAACACCCTACTTAACGTGGATCATTTTGTTGACCTAGACCACGTTCGCTGCCTACCTCAACAACCTTTCGCCCTCGAGCTAGATGAGCCAATCTCGCCTGGCGAGGTTGCTCTTGCCATTAAGCAACAGCAAAATAAACGCGCGGTTGGTGTTGATTTTATACCGGGTGAATTATTGAAGTATGGCGGTGGGGATTTGTATTCAGCGTTATGGGAACTTTTTGTCATTATGTGGGAAAAAGAACAAGTCCCTAATACTTTTAAGGTATCCCTCATACGAGCCCTATATAAAGGCAAGGGTGACCGGTCAAACTGCAATTCTTACCGTGGCATTTCTCTACTTTCAGTGCCTGGAAAAGTCTTCGCCAGACTTCTTTTAAACCGCCTCAGGAAACTTTCTGAAAGGATTTTGCCGGAATCCCAGTTCGGCTTCCGACCTGACCGTGGTACCTGTGAGGCGATTTTCTCATTACGTCAACTACAGGAAAAAAGCAGAGAACAGGGTCGTAATATGTATCTCTGTTTTGTAGACCTTGAGAAGGCATTCGATAGTGTACCACGTGAAGCCCTCTGGATAGTGCTGCGGAAAATTGGATGCACGGAGAAGTTTGTGAGACTTCTGAGACTCCTGCATGATGGCATGCAGAGCTGCGTCGCTGTAAATGCTGATCAGTCAGAATTTTTTCCCGTTACCTGTGGAGTAAAACAAGGGTGTGTCCTTGCACCCACACTTTTCGCGTTATACTTTGCAGTTGTAGTCCAGGAAGTCTTAAAAACTACCCATGATGGAATTCGCATTCGTTTCCGCAACGATGGCAATCTTTTCAGCTTAGCTAGACTTAAGGCCCGTACGAAAGTGTCTTACGCACTTATTACAGAGATCGTCTACGCAGACGATTTATGTTTTGTGGCCGATTCCCCAGCTGGCCTGCAACAGCTTGTGACCACCTTTCATGAGTCGTGCCGTATTTTTGGTCTGAAGATAAGTGTTAAAAAGACGGAAGTGATGTCTTTAGATATCTACGGTCAAGAGACACTGGCCGTCAAACTCGGTGATGATATACTTAAGCAGATCAATACATTTCGTTATCTGGGGAGCACGATAACATCAAAGTGTGACCTTGATGCTGAAATCAACAGTCGAATCGGTGCCGCGGCTGCGGTATTCGGTAAACTGGATCGCAAGGTCTTTGGCTCACATGACCTAAAGCTGGCTACCAAAATTGGTATTTATAAGGCGGTAGTGCTGCCTAACATACTGTACTCTTCAGAGTCATGGACAGTTTACCGCCGTCATATACGGACGCTGGATCGCTTCCACTTGCAATGTCTGCGCAAAATTCTCAACATCCGTTGGTCTGATCGCATTCGGAATACGGAAGTGCTACGTAGAGCCTATACCATGGGGATTGAAGCCTACCTTATGGGGCGACAACTCCGTTGGTGTGGACACTTATCGCGAATGTCAGATCAGCGTACGGCTAAGTGCATCTTTTTCTCTGAACTTGAGAAGGGCAAGCGTAAGCATGGCGGACAACTTCTCAGGTACAAAGATGTACTTAAGCGTCACATGACGAAGTGCGACATTGAGCCTTCAGAGTGGGAGCAAGCAGCCGCTCGACGACCGGAGTGGAGATCCTTGGTGAAAGCCAAGGTCAAAATGTTTGAGGAGAATCGATGCTCTGAATTGGACGCCCGACGTGATGAACTCAAAGCACGCCCACCTTGTGCGATTAACTATAATTTCTGTAATGGTGTGCTCACCTGCCCGCATTGCACGCGAACATTTGTAAATAAGATCGGCTACGTTAGCCATGCACGAGCACACCAACGACAAGATCGGAGCTGAAGAGGTCGCCGTGGCCGAAATCGGTCGAGGAGATTATTATTATTATTTTATTTTCCGCTTAACAGCCTTCTTGCTTCAGGTTTCTTCTGCGACGGGTATTGCAAAAGTTAGCTCCGCCGCATGGACACTCTTCACGAGCATGTTATTCATAATCGTCCACTGAATTGTAATCTTATAGGCACTGAATACTATTTGGTAAATCGATCAGAAATTTTTGGGAATTGAATTAGCAAAAAG